TGCTGAACCTAGGTACTAGAATTTTTGCTTCTGTTCTGTAGCGAAACTGCCTTTGGACTTGACTTGTCTTTGTGTGTTTCTAAATTTATAATAGTTAATATAAACTTAAGGAAATAGGATAAAAAAATAAAGGAACTTATTTAGAGCTATGATCATAGTGCATATTCAACATATTGGTGAAATACTGTATAAAGATGGGCAGATAATATCCACCTTTTGAATTGTTTGAATTTTATTTTTGGAGATAGCTGATAAATTAAGTTTTTAGCTTTCAGTTGGCTCAGAAAGAATGAGAAATGATAAATCCTTAGGCGTACATAAATAGGAGAGGTCAAACCTTCTGATTTATTAAAGAAGTAATAGTTGTTCCAAAATGCCAGTTACATAACTTTCTCTAAAAAATACTACATTGATTTCCAGCTCAACTTATTTTCTTCTTATCTCTCAAACCACTTGTTGATTTATTTAATCAATGTTTAATGTGCTTAGCATTATACAAATGCTAAGGTAAATATAAAATAGTATAATATATTGTCCCTATCCTCAAGAAACTTGGATTCTAGCTGGGAAAACAAATAATACGTCTTTTTAAAAATTAAGTAACCCCCCCCCCAAAAAAATTAAGTAACCCAAAGCTCCATCAACAGAAGAGTAAATAAAAATGAATCATTCATTTATTTAAATGAGTATAAATATATTTTTATATAGAATGAAAATGAACATTGTTACAAAACATGTATGATTCTCATATATGTTCAACAAAGGAAGCCAGACACAAAAGAATACATATTGTATGATTATGTGTATCTAAAATTCAAAAAACTAAACTATGGTATTTGGGATTGCATATTTAGGTGTGGTAAAACATACAGAAAAGCAAGAAGGGGATTACCATAGTTGTTAGGGTAGTGAGGAGCAGGGGAGGAGGGAGTTTTAGTGATTAGACAAGAGCATGAAGGGGTTTCTGGGTGCTAACAGTTTTCTATTTCTCTACTTGGGGAACGTTTCATGGATATGCACTTAGGGATAAATCATTGAGCTTTTCACTTTTGTGTACTCTTCTGTGTGTGCATTATATTTCACAATTCAAAAGATTTTTAAAGAAGTAAATGACAACTAAAAAACAGCAAGTGTTTCCAAGTTAGAACAATAAGAGCAGAGGAAGTTGGAGGGAGGAGAGATCATCATAAGTGGAAATAATCTGGGGAAGAACAGAAGACAGTAAAACCAGCTGGGCCTGTAAGAACGGATAGGATTTACATAAATGGAAGAAGGGAAGGGAACACATTCTGGATGAGTGAGCAAAGGTTTCATAAGCTTGATGAATTTGGGAGATAATTGAGTACTAGTATGACTGAAGTAGATGGTGTTTTTTAGAAAACCATGAGATTCAGAATTGACAAATTAGACTCAGATCAGAGTAGGAATGATTTTAAGTGCCAGGTGAGACTTAGACTCTTTCCTTTAAGTAAAAGGGGATCAGCCTGATGAAAACAGCAACCTCCATTTCATTTTTGTATACAGTTGAAGGATATTTTTGCTCTATGTTCTTTGTGAGTATGTGTTTTGGTATGTATGTAATTTCTTGTTTTTTCATGGTTTATTTGTGACATGTCAAAAAAAAAAATTGCCAATGTTAAACTTTGTATCCCAATGTCTCAAAGTTAACTTTTGCTGAAGAGTTTCATAAAGTTTAAAGTATAGAACCTAATGCTATAATTTTTTAAATTATGTTTTAAAAAGCCTATACGTAGAAAATAACATAATGAGACTAATATTTCAAGAATTTTAGGCCTCGAAAAAAATTACAGCAGGTCATATAGATTGCTTGTGAAATATTACTGTCATCCTTTCTTAAGAGTCTTCTGAGTAGTAGCTGCCACAGACGAGTTTAAAATATTAAGCTTCATTGTCTTGTGAAATAATCAAGAAATTTTTATGTTGAAGAGTCTAACCTTTCAAATACTTTTAAAATTAGATGTTACCTCAGTTCAATAACACTGACCTCAACTGAGAAAATTAAACTTGAGCACCAGCCAGACCAAAATAAAATAGATTTATTTCCTGTTGAAATCAAGATCCTGTTTATTTGTCATTATTGCCTTTGTTAAGAGTTTTGATATAGATATTTGTATTGATTCATGGACAGTTAATGCTTTAAATTACTAATATATTTAAAACTTCTTTATGAAAATCTTTATAATTAAGTTACCTGTAAGAGGAGTGAACCTACTAATGCTTTTGACTTTTGGCCATAATCTTTTAAATTTGGATAGTGTTTTTTAACCCTCTTCCCTTCCTTGCAAAGCTCCTGCTTAATAATGCCATTTATTGAGTGCTTACTAAGCACTGTGACATAAAAGCTTTTCACCATATTTCTCATGTCACTGGAGTAAAAATCGACAAGAAGTATTGTTCATTGGTATTAGGGAAATATATTTTCATTCGTTTACTCACCAAAAATTTATTGAATGTCTCATATATGTCAAGTGCTTAATATTAGAAGAGAACAAAAACAATAGTCCCTGCTTTTGAGATTACTTATAGTCTAGTGGCCTGGGAATGGCTGGAGAAGTTAGGAGGGGGTCAGGAAAGTCAGTGGACTGTTGGAGTACAGTGCGATATATGCATAACTATGTTCTGAGTACTGAGGGAACAAAGAAAGACATCTAACTTGGATGGATGTGGAACGTAGTAGGTGGGAGAGGGAAGGAGAAGATATACTGGGAAAGACTTCTGGGAGGGGATAACTCTTAACCTGAATTCTGAAGATAAGCAAGAGTTAGTCTGTGAAGAGAGACAATTTCTAGGAAAAAAGAACATGAGCTGGATGTTTGTAATAATTTCAGTGATTTGCAGCTAGAAAAATCACAAATATTTGAAAAAAATCCCATCTCCTTTAAATGAACTCACATGTTTTGAAACAAGTACCAGAGCTGGACATCCAGTTGTGTGTTTTATTGTTTAAATTTTCAAAAATTGTGAAATATAGCACATTCAAAAAAGTGTATAAAACACATATGTAAAATTTAACAAGCAATTTTAAAGCAAACACTCATGTAACCACCATCAATAGAACATTGTCAGAATCCTGGAGACATCATCTTGTGCCCTTCCCTAATCACATGCTGTCCTACCTCCCTGTAGTTTTAACGTGTATATATCACTAAACAATATATTTTTTTGCCT